AGAGAGAGAGAGAGAGAGGAGAGAGAGAGAGAGAGAGAGAGAGAGAGAGAGAGAGAGAGAGAGAGAGAAGAGAGAGAGAGAGAGAGAGAGAGAGAGAGAGAGAGAGATTTTTAAAAATTACTATAAAAAATATTTTTTTTTGTGAAATTAAAGAAAAATTTATAAGAATAATAAAAATATTCATATTAATTTTTTGGATGGATAGATATGCATATATTGAAAAAAGATTGGTGGATAGATTGGATGCATTGGATTGAATATTTTTAAAGTGAGTTTAATGCATAGTTAATGGATTAATGGATTGTTTTGATCCATCCAGTAACATTCAAATCTATATCCATCCAATCCATCGATTTTGTCATCCTTACTTTCTAGCCATGTTTAAGATTGTTCTATTCTCTCTTTCTACAGTGTCATTGTGTTGTGGAATGTATGGTACTATCACCTCATGAATCAACCTCTATTTGTTGCAATAATCTTCCCACTTAGTGGAAGTGTATTGAAATTTTGGCAGTCGACCACATGTTGATATTGATGTTCTCACATCAGAACATAATGTCAAGATAGATGTTACAACATCTTCTGTCTGGCGGAAAAAATAACATAGAATGAAAAATAAAGTGCAGAAAGATAAATAGCACAGTTAATTGGTAACGCAATTCGGTGCAACATCACCTACATCTGGGGACATCCAAGTCAGGAAGGATATTCACTATGATAACATTAGTTCAAATCTAAACTCCCCTGTTTACAACTTCTCACCTAATCACTATCTTGTGCAACTTCTACCTAGAAACCTTCTATATATGAGATCCCCCTCTCACTTCCTAATCAGTCATAGTCACAGTCTTAGTAACAATTCAACAACAACCAATAATAGAAGTAGCACACTTCCAAGACAATACTTGGTTTTGCTTAAAAGCTTCAACTAAGAACAATACACTCTTGCTTAAAAGTTTTTATAGTGAACAATTAACAATTAACAATCAGTTCTACCTCAATGCATAAGAAAATACATGAGTGACATACAATTAACACACTAAACCCTAAAGACCAACCAAAACACGGCTAATTATAATTCTCCAAATTCCACGTGATTTACTTATTCAATAGGGTTGGGTGTTCACTTTAAATAGCCTTCTGTCCACTTGGGCTTGGCCTTTTGAAGCGCAAAAATACCAGGAATCAACTTTTAAATCAAGAGCATAAACTTCTGCACAATAATAGGAACAAAATACAAAGTTTCTTAAAAAGCCTCAAGAGTCCTTTTTATGAAAACTAACAGAATCTTTCAAAACAAAAGTTCCCACAATATCCTCCCTTGGATAATGCAAACATGTGAAATAAAATACACTCAAATATCACGCTAAAAATACCAAAAACACTCATGTCCTAACTTTCTAGTATAACATGTCCTGACACATGTTACAACATCATGTTGGACATGATGTCAGACTATCATGACAGAACATCTGGTGTAGCATCTTGCTAACAGCATGTTGTTTTACCAAAATGTAGCCAATCCAAAAGACACAGAACTTACAATCTCTCCCTTTGGCAAATTTTGGATAAAACAACATTAGCACACATCAGAGGCATACACAACGAAATCAAACTAAATACGCAGATAAAAAGAACCACAAACCCAAGCATAATGCTGTCAAAATAATATACCACACCTGACTGCACAATGTTAAGACACCTGGTCTGACATCACAAAACAATCAAAACAACACACAAGCTACATGAGAACAAGTAAGCTTTGTATAAACTCAAAGCAACAAATCATGTAGGTACACAACTCCCCTTGTCATACATAACCAGCACTTCCCCTGAAGGGGAAAACCAAAATCACAAGAAAAATGCACATGAACTCTTGCAAGTTCTTATAATAGAACCAAACAAAAAAAACAAACATAAGCACTCTCCCCCTGAACATCACAACCTACTATAGAGAAAGTGCATTCTTCCAGACACAGTATATGGTTCCACATTAGTAGTAGCAGCAGCAAACATGGCAGACTATCATGCTCCCCCTAAAAAGTTGCATACAGCCAGCAAAAACAATGAAAAGTAATATTCTTAAGAAGTAGTAAAACACATGACATGAAGTCATGACATCTTATCCAACATCATAAACAAAAAACATAATAACACTTTAATCCCCCTTTTTAGCCAAAAATTAACAAAAAGAACACAGATTAAATGTAAACAATCATAAATGGAAACACACAAAGAGCTAAAAACAGTTCTAATGGAAGCAAAAAAAAGCCGTTAGGGAATTTTAACAACACAAACAAAGAAAGAAAATAAAACACCAACATAAACTTCATCTATGAAGCCATCTATCCACTCCAACCACCTGACTTAATGAAATTAAGCCGGTCTTCATCACCATTCTCGTCAGAATCATGCACTTGAGCATGAATTTTCTTCAAGGACTTCATCTTTGTCGCAGATGTTTTCCCTGTCCATGATGCTCCAACAGATGTCCCAACTTTAGACTCCACTATCTTCGAATCCGCATTCTTGTCCTTTTTGGCGTCCAGCACAAGAGCCTTTTTAGCATCATTGTTTTGGGAATTTTGACTCATGTTGAGACACAACTGAATGGACGACTGAAGTAGTAAGGTTTTGGAGAAAAAAATTAACAACCTTGGTTATAACGCCTGATCAGTCAAGGATATGGTTGTTGAAATGAGTGAAATTATCCTTGGTAACAGAGACATTCTCTTGTTCCTCTTTTTCACTTTCCAAGCTTTAACTGTAACATTCTCCATGTAATAAATAAACTGTTTTTCTTGAGAAATGCGTGCAACAAAAAAAAACGTTTTTCAGGCCTTCTAAATTGTAGTTGCTATAACTCTTCATTAATACAAATTCCCAAACACCCCTGAAAAAAATGACTAGTTACAATGACCTTGTCCATCTGGGAAGAGTGAGACTCCTTGAAAATCCTGATTGTGATCAGCTTGTCATAGTACAATGTCATGACATCGTGGTTGACATTGCAATCTTTCAGTAAATAACTCAATTTGGAGCAACAACTTGCTCAACAGTGTACTTAGTTCCAAATTAAATTCTTACTAATCCAAAAGGACATGATTCTTTCTTAATAAGAAACATCCTTAACAAGCAAGGACACACGAAATGGAAATAAAATTGGACTCACATAAGAACATTATGCAGCAGTCACAAAAATAAACTCCCTCTGAATTACATAGCTTAGGAATTCAGCAAGGTGTAGCTGAACAACTAAACACAATGTTAAGATGTCTAGTCTAACATCTCAAACCAACCAGAAAGACAGCTCCTTCTGAAGATTATAGCCCACTGTAGAGAAAAATAAATTCTCCCAAAAAAAAATATCATTGTTCTTCAAGGACATACACGTGCAATCATGAACTGTCCCAGTATGCTCAGCAAAAAAACTTCAAAAACATTTAAGAAAAACCAGGGTTCTTCAAAACACTTCACGCAGGCAAGATGTCATGCACATTTGGATTGACATCAAGCATATAAACCACATCAACAGAAGTACATTTTTTTCTTTAGTACCAACAGCTAGAATGATGTCAGAATATGGCATCCCAGCACCACCAAAGATTACATATAAACGTAGAGAACATTTCTATGCTTCATACCATAGCATCACAATAGAAATTCTAGAGAAACATGGTTCTCCATAGCATCAGGCCAGATATCAGGACATCAAATACGTCATCCTGCACTACACAGCAGATCCTTCCTTTCAGTGTTGTCATAGCCACTATAACCATCAATAGTTATCTCCAAAGATTCACCCATATTAGATATTTCATCTCTAAGTCTATTGGTGAGCACAAACTCCACATAACCAGATCCCATGTATAATCAACTCCATTTTCTGGAGATTTTCTCTACTCGATGATGTTCCAACATTTGCTTGGACACCAATCCTTTTCATAATGATTGGTTCTGGACATAACATTCATAGCAGATCATGAACATCTACTTGCAAGAACTACTTGAGAACCAACATTTAAGCACAACGTTATGGGAAAAAACTGCAAAGGCAGATCAGGGATACTCACCCAAGGAAACTTCATAGAGAGAAATAGACTCTCATACACAAGAAGAACCTAAGGAAGCTCCTACACAGAGGCACAATGTCCAGACATCGTGTTTTTCATTACATAACCACCGACAAACCTTCTAACAAGCACCAATTGAGCTGACCAAACTACCAGGGTGTTGACTGATCAAAACACCACTATAAGTCTTTTCAACCTCAGTCTGCTCCTCCTCTCCCTTTTGATCCTCTATCAACTAACCTCCACCTAGCTTCATAGGAACCATATGAGAGGTTACAATATTTGGTGACTACATCTTCATTGGACCTTAAGCTTGAGCAATAGATCCTTGGAATAAGCACAAATAACAACTGTCTCTGGACTCAACTTTATCATCACCACTTCATGC